TTCTATGGTATCACTTGATTCACATTCAATGACAAAATATAACAAACCATCACGTCTGTAATTAATTCCAGATAAATTGAATAACAATTGTATTTGGTACAAACCGAAATGTGAGTTGTGGGAAACTGATTATTATTATTATTACCAATCACAGAAATAAATAAACTTTTCATCACACTTATAAATGACATGATGTAAATAGATTTGTGAAACACATGCAAGTTTGTTTTTTATTAGCATTTACATGTACAAGACTTGCAAAGAAAAAAAATCGCTGCTGTAATTCTTAACACTTCAAAATATAACGCTCAGTATGAACATGGAGCTCCATAGTATACATCTTATTTTTTTTCCTACTGAAACCTGGCTGAAACAGTATTGTAAGAAAAACCTAGGTTTCCCTAGGTCTGTCTTCTTTGTTCTCTGTTGTTTGTTTTCAGTGGGGGCGTTAATGGGCAGTTAATCCAGAGGTTAGGTTCGAACCTATTACTAATTTGCATATTGTAGGTCTAGTAGGTCTGATTAGGGCTAGCAAGGGAAGACCGGGTTAACCCAGGTTTGACCCAGGTGTTTGAATATGAGATCACCCCTAAGTACCCTGTCTTGGACAGCAGTTGATAACAAAACATGATTTACTTACCATGCATTAAGTACCCTGTCATGGACAGCAGTTGATAAAAAATACAATCCATTCACATCATGCAAGGCATCATCTTCATCATTACTGATACTAATTGTTCTTGTTGCCATAGGAACACAATTTATTTGTGAAACTGGACTGGCATGACCTGTATACCTCTGAAATTTGAAAAGTTTGAAAAACGATTCACAATCTGCACAAGGTAGATTTGGCAATGATCCATGAGGTCTTGTATATGTATATACAGTATATTATTAATATTTTTCTATTAGCCTTTTAGGTATTTAAATTTGACAATATCTAAAGACTCAAGTGAATGTGCTAAAATATTTAAATAGTATGCAAATTAAGAAAACAAAATTTCTTGTGAAACATTTTTGCCCAATTTTTGCTCATATTCTGTTGGATTCATTGAATATATATTAAAATACAATAATAAGAAATCTTGTACATATTCTCATTTATTTATCGTATTTCACCGATAATAAGCTCAGGGGCCTGAACATGTAAAATCATTGATTTCTACAACACTTCTTACAATGAAAAAACAAACTTGCTCATAACAATACACACTTTATTACAATGCGGTTTACATACAGTCTGAATTTACGATGCAAAAATGGGTAGGGTCTGTGGGAAGATCTTTATCATTATCTTTGTTGTGGAATGTTTCTGATCACGCGCAAACCTTTGATACAAAGCTATTTCCGCCATTATGTTTTTTATCATGATTTGACATGAAACAACTTCCTTTGACCTAACAGGTCGTCTTTCGTTAACCAAACAAAATGCTGTGTCATACAGAATAAGTTTCCCGATTATTGACGAAGTAATTTTTTCAACACAGTGCAGAAGTGACTTACCGCAATGTTAAAATGTGATCTGACAGTGATTTCCCCCCTAAAAGCTGTTGATTCGCAATTTTCAAAAGGTAAACTGAGGGTTGAGGACGTATTTAAACCTTTGAAGGTTGCCAACAAGTCATGTCTAAGAATAGTTTGCTCGTTCACACTCCATGATATTCTCAATGGGCATGATTATTCGGAAAAGTAAAACTCGAAAGAAACATGGATTACTTCAGTATGGCAGCATTGGGGGGTCATCCTGAGTAAATAACAGAAAAGAAAAGGTGCAAACCATGTTCCATACGTTTGCCCACCATGCACTTAGGAACCAAACTACCGTACCAATCACGATTTTTATGCAAAGAAATGCACTTTATACATGCATATTTTAATAAATGTCATCGACACCTGGTAAAAACACCCTTGGCCTATAATCGGGGATGCCCTCAACTCGTTAAAAGTCTAAAAACAGGGGTGGGCTTATACTCTGGGAGGGGCTTATGATCCATGTATGGTATGTGCTTTTAATTTTGTATATTCGTAGTCTAGAAACAGTATTATGCTTACAGCATGCCAAGTTTACATACCTTGAGTAATTCTTTATTTTTCAAATTCCACACTTTGATAGTTCTCGCTGCTGATAACATAACTGTACCACCAGGGCATATACTTATACAGTGAATGGCACTTTTATCTCCTTTCCATTTGCTGATGAGAAAATACAAGATGAATGCTGGAAACTGACACATTGGCTGCTTGTTTATGGTTAAGAAAATTATATACTGACCAAAATACTAAGTTTTACTAAGTTTGGGTAAATATTTGTTTAAGAGTTTTCATTACAGAGAAACTGAAATGGAAGTATGATTTGAAGTATATGTGTGTAATTTAAGTTTTGAAATGTAATAGTACTTTAGGCCGGTGGCCATATAGTGCGGAATAAAGAAAATAATAATACTACTGACCAAAATTCAGTGGAATGGTACGAGTTAGCTTGTTACATCAGAAAAGACTACAAATTTATACCAAAGACAAGTTCAAGCAATAAAAGGAAGTCTCAAGTTTGCTTACCATTTCACTTTTCCTGTTGATACACTCCATTCCGTTATATGGTGATCATCAGAACAACTGTAGAGAGAATCTTCTTCCAAATGCCAACATAAACAGTTTACTGTATCAGCATGACCACCATCCTACAATACATTATTACAATTACAGTTTTCACTCATTAAAACCAAATGTCATAATTTACTGTGTTATCTGACTAATGACAATGAGAAAGTACTCTGTACTAATATTTACAAGCAATGTCCATTTCCATTTTCTGACAAATAGAGATAGACATTGCTGGTGAATATTTTGGTTTGAAACAATACCATAATTTTTTTATTAGTAGTGTATGCAATTATGTGACAATTTGGGCATACAGTAGAACGTCGATTATCCAAACACCGATTACCCGAAATATTCAGTTATTCGAACCTACTGTGTCCCCCAAAGTTTGTATGCATGTTTGCCTGTGTTCCGTATAATACAAAAGTCAACTGTGAACAATAAATACTACAGTCGTCTTGTGTGATTTCCTGGTGCAACACTTTCAATAAAGCTATTATCAACATGTAATCAGACGTCTTTCACGTGTACGTTCATTGTTTACAGTGTCTGGCAAACAATGACACGATTTACAGTATCCAATAATTTCCTAAATTCAGACAAGCCTACTATGCCACACCAGCGCTCCACTGTAAATAAAAAGTGTCCTACAAACACAAACTTCATCAAGTGTCTTCTCCACTGTTTACAGTCAGATCCTTAACTTTACCAAGTTGTAAGTCAACGCAGTTCGGATACGTTTCCTGGGAAAACTGTACGGGGTTCCACTGCCGTCAAAAAAATGTGGCTATGAGCCGATCCCATGTTTTTCCCCCGATTTTTAATTATCAAAAGTCACATCCATTTCGGAATAAAAAAAGAAAGAAAATAACTTCTGGGATGTCTTGTCACAGAAGCGACGCCAGTTTAACAGTGCAGTGAAAAAGAAGAGTGACGAAACGCAGTGTGCTTGATTTGGACACGAAGCTTTCAATTATAAATCAACTAAAACTTGGCAAAACCGGAAGCAATCTATCTACCGAGTATGGTGTTGGTAAATCGACGATATCCGATATCAAGGCAAAACAGAAGCTGCTGGATTTTTCCAGTAAAATGGATTCAAGTGCAGGACTGAAACGAAAGATAATGAAAACAGCCAATGACGCCGTCGCCACTTGGTTTTCCATAGAAAAAGCAAAGGAACTTTATTATTGCTACATTTTACGGAAATTTTGAAACAATTTTTTAACATTCCAGCGTGCAACATTTTTATTACAATGTATTACTTTTTAAAATTGCAACTGATTAAATAAAAATGTTTTTAATAACGTACTCTACATGTGCTATTGTTTGATTTCATTACAGTCTTGTGCATTAGAATTTGTGTGTACGCGAGCCTGTAAATTGGACCCCGGCCACATAAGATCGCATGTCCCCCTAACTGTATGGATAATCGACGTTCTACTGTACATTGTATTTTAATGATTCAACGTCATTGAGGGAATCTTGATGACTTCGTCCCCACTGTATATCCTCATCTACTATTCACATTTCATCCTTCATCACATGCACAACTTGCGCATCACCAGTGTGACAAAAGATAAGCAGATCAAAAAACCCATATCCCCAATAGTGTTATCTCACATATTGCCAAACAGTATTTGCTGCCTGAAGGTTTTCCAGAGGTTCCAGGGATTTGCAAGGTCCAAAAACTTCATGGCATTTTTGAAATTAAAATTCAGCTCTTCGGTTGAAACAATTTTGATTACCACCAGAGTTGCCATCAATCCTCACCTGCAGCTTGGATCGATACAAAACTCTGGCAGTAAACACTCAGCGTCCACCTAAGAGAAAATATCGAGGGATTATATATAAACACAACATAATCAATGCAAACCTTACATACCATTTTACTCTGCAAATCTCCTTTTACAGCACTATATAATAAAATGCTCCCAACAGATGTCCCAAGCGCAAGTAAATCAACATTTTCTGTTATTGATGAAGCAACTCCCTTTCTAATTCCTTCAGATTTCCTTTTCTTCCTCCTTGGAGCTCCCTGGAAGAAAAAAAAATATGTATCTTTGAATCACTATCAAATGCTCTCCTCATGGGGTATATATGGTTATTGTATACGAGGAATTGATATTACAGGATTGTTTAGCAACAAATTAAATGCGTCTGTCTGAAAACTATCAAAATGAAAAATTGCAGTTGCTATTCTGAAGTCTTTTTTAAAGATTTTACCTATCGAATGAAATGTTTTACCTCTCTAAAATGTGGAGTGCCTGTCATTTTACAGGCGGCTGGCTAAAGGCCTTGTACTATACAATTTAAAAAACTTCCAGTTAGTAACTGAGTTACACAACACCATGCACAGGACCACTTATCTTCAAGAGATTGTTACATTCTCCAAGCAAGCAACGTATTTCAACGTTATGAACCATAACTAACTTTATAATTCTAGCGTAGTCAAAGAAATGTGGTCACATGAAGACAAAGATGGACTAGCCGAAATGCTAACTAATTGCCTGAACACTTCACATGGTCCACATATCCATTTTTTGAACCATCTGATGAACTTCACTCACCCTGCTCTCCCGAAGCGTGCTCCACGCAACACAGGTGCATGTTGCTGAGAGATGTGAACTCGGTGTGTATTGCTGATTCAATGTCCCAGTAGTCGTGTCCCACAGTTTCAACCGTCCATCTGGACTAGAAACCGCCAACAACTCGGAGTTTGGCGAGAGAACACACAGGTTCGACGCCATCTTGATTAAAAGACACGTGTTGTTCACTGCGCATGTGCTCAGGCCATTGACATTTGTTTCCTAATTCCGTCGTTGCTGGCGTACTGGTGATCAGACTTATCTCCAATCATGGACCCTGACCTATCTTTAAATCACTGTTCACTGATATATATTATACTAGTAACGAGCATTTGTCACGTATACATTTTTGGGTCCCGTGTGCAGACCTCAAAGGGAAACTTATGTCATACCGTTGTCCGTCTAAATGGATATGTAGATGTGGCAAATCTTGTTCCATTATCTCAAAAACCACTGGATGGATTGGAATGCAAAATTGTACACGAATGCTTTGTGGTGAATTGAGGCATTGAGTATGATTTTGGTACAAACCTGTGCATATTAAGTAGCAAATTTGCATAATGCTACAAACTGTTTTCAGAATGCTTTCATGTTTTGTTGATATCCCAGCAAGTGTATGAGTATGGATTCATGCATGTATTTCTGGATGTCTGAGAATTGTTTGGCATAAATTTGTTCACTTTAATTAGCTAATTTGTGTGTCTTTACAGCAGTTTGGACAAATTAGAAAAGAAAAACATTGATGCATCTATTTGTGCAGTTTCCTGCTGTTGACTTCGTCTAGAGTGTAAACGGTGGGGAAACACATTGATTTGAAATGACTATTATAGTAAATGCAGACGAAATTCTGCTAGGTGACCGTTCAACGTCAAAATTATTGAATTGTTTGGCATCGACTGTAAAAAGGTTTATTTACATACTAGATACCAGAAATAAGCGCCAAATTTTGTTAATTTAAAACCCTATATACACAATTATTTGTAATGTATTTCAGTGACTTCCAGGGGTTATTTTAAATTCAAACAAGTCATGAACAGACAGGTAAATTATTTACAATGAAATGCAGACTTCAATAAAAAGGTTGTTTGTGTATATCAGTTTGTGCCGTGCCATTTTATTAATTTTCAGTTTGTTTATTCTGTATCATAATAGTAGTTTTAAACTTGTATACTGTACATACTAATCACTATTTGTATATCGTATTCTAACAGTTTGATCAAATGGATTAATCACGCTGTACGATATCCCTTATTATTGCCGAGCAAAGATTGCGGGTTTCTATTACTTTCTATTTCTACTCTATTGCAAATATTTTTAAAACGTAAATTAAAAAACAAATCAAAACACTTAATTTCTCGAATTTAGTACAGATTTCCTGGAATTACTTTTTTGTAGTTTAGTATACTATTATTTTCATGACGATAGACTCTTCTATAAAATCTCCTATACTATCACGGGGTAAATCTCTTCCTCGGGGTTCTCCACACTTGTCAGGGGGGAAACTCGTCTCGTCTCTCTATCTCGTCCCCTTGAGGTACGGGATCGGGAAAGTCACTTTAACTTTACAGTCAAATAAGGCACACACAACGAAATACGTTTCAACTCTCGTCTTAGTCGATCTTTTGGAGCACTCTATAAGACACAGCGCCCTGGGGAAAAGTCCCCAAGAGTCTCACAAGGCTGAACCAAGACTCGCCCAAGACTGGACTGCGTCAAGGCTCGCCCCAAGACTCTCTAGGACTGGACTCGACTCTCCAGGACTGCACTCTCTCTACTGCGTCTATCGTGCTGTATTCGCCAAGACCAACTCAAACTCTCTTTATTCATTTTCAAAACTCTAACCAATTACAAAACAGTAAAAAGACTCTAGGGCGTAACCTTCAATCATAAAGCCAATCACACTAAGTACTGAATACGTCATATCTTTTGATTAATCGTTCACTACATTAATAACTACGGATGTCAGAATAGCGACGGTATCTTGTAATTAGTTCCAAATCACTGCGCCAAGTTCCGTCCAAAACTTCAAATAGACCTAAACGATGACAGACATAACACAGCAATTCGCTAATAATCAGTTAATTAAGTCGGTCAACAGATACGCGAAAACAAATTCATGACAATACCACAACTTGCCAATAGTTAAATCGATAAATTGAAAACTGTCAAATCGTCTTATTCTGTTTTGACGTGAGAATACCATTTTTTTTATCCCTCATTCTATTCAGTAATTCCAATATTTGGAAATTTGTTTAAATGTAAAAGTAAACAAATAGTATTTGTTGAAATGTTTATTTTATTTCCATCGGATCAAATGGACGTACATTTGTAATTTACTATTGTTTATTGTCAAGGTATTTGAAAGGTAACACAGTCGAAAGTTTCTGACTTGTTCAAGTCCACCAATCTTTGCATGACACAGGATATCCTTGGCAATTAATATTAATTAATTAATTAATTAATTCTCGTCCACCTGAGGTGTTTTTCGCTACACCGCAAACGTGCTTTCTTGCGGCATCAATACGACGAACAATATATTGCTTTCGTTTTTACCGTATCAGAAATAGTCAACTTTGAACTCTGAGGGAACTATGTAAACTTTTCACGGAAATTGTATCCTGTTTTTGACTCCCATGTGCAAAGCACATAATGGGAGTCTTTGCAGTTAGTGTGTCTGTGTGTGTGTATGTGTGTATGCGTGTATGTGTGTGTATGTGTGTGTGTGTATATGTGTGTGTATGTATATGTGTGTGTATATGTGTGTATGTGTGTAGTTTTTGGTAATAATCCGTGGATACTAATTACCTAATTTGCATAATGATTAGTCAATTTTTAGGGTTTTCCACTAATATCTCAAGTACTAATCATCACATTTCAATGAAACTTGGTACATAGATGTCATATGACACTGCACAGACCTGATAGTTTTTATGGTAATATCAGTACATATTAATTACCTAATTTGCATAATTAATTAATTTTCAGCATTTGATATATGTAGTGAGCATTACATTTCAATGAAACTTGGTACTTACATACTCAAGGACTACGCAGAGATTGATTGTTTCCGATAAATATTTGTGCATATTAATCACCTAATTTGCATAATTAATTAATTTTCAGCTTT